TACTTACCTCAAACCATGCAAATATTGACTCCAACAAGCCCTTGCCTCGCGAATCGGCCTCTAAATGACTCGAATATAGCCACAAACAACTCGATACAATCAACACAAGATATAGGGATTAATTCCATATGATAAAGTTAAGTTCTTAAGCAAAAGTCAAAAACTCCACTCAAAAAGTCAATCCTGGTCCCATGTCTCGGAATCCAATAAAATTAACAAAATACGAACACCCATTCAACCACGAGTCTAACCATTCCAAATCTACCAAATGCCGACACCAAATCGTCACTCAAATCCCCAAATCTTACTGTCTAATCCCTAGTCCAAAACTCCCAAAATTCTACCTTAAAAATACATAAACTAGGTGGGAAATTCAATGTGTATTCAATATTAATGAATAAAAATGATCAAAAGTGACTTACCTTTTCAAATCTAGTGAAATACCCTTCAAACATCGCCTTAATCCAAGCTCCCAAAGTCCAGAAATGAACAACATATCGGAACCCTTCGAATATATACATTGCCCAGGTATTTCGCATATACGAAGCCACTTAACCGCTTCTGCGGTTCCGCTTTTGCGGAGTCCTCATCGCTTCTGCAACTCCACAACCTCCTGCCCATTTCCGCTTCTGCGAGCACTCAAGTACAGATGCGCATCTGCTTCTGCGGGCTTCCTTCCGCACATACGCCCCCAGGTCCACTCTCCAGTCCTCGCACCTGCGCCTCCTATCTCCGCATCTGCGCATTCCCCCACCCTAAACAAAATCCACTTTTGTGATGCCAATCACGCTCCAGTGGTCTCGTACCTGTGACCAAATCCTTCGCACGTGCGATCGCACCAGTCCAAAACTCTTCAGCCATTTCCTAATTTCAAATTCTAATCCGCTAACCATCTGAAATCCACCTGAAGCCCCCCGGGACCTCAACCAAACATGCCAACAAGTCCTAAAATACGATACGAAGTTAGTCGAGGTCTCAATTCACCTTAAACAATATTAAAAACACAAATCGCACCCCAATTCGAACCTATTGAAACTAATGAACTTCTAACTTCTACAATCGATGCCGAAACCTATCAAATCAACTCCGATTGACCTTAAATTTTGCACACAAGTCATAAATAACACAACAAACCTATTACAACTTCTGAAACCAAAATCCGAGCATGGTAACCACTAAGTCAACTCTCGGTCAAACTTCTCAACTCTCCAAACTTTTATTTTTCCAACTTTCGCCAATTCAAGCCTAAATCATCTACGGACCTTTAAATCAAAATCCAGACACACTTCTAAGTCCAATATCACCATACAGAGCTATCAAAACCATAAAAACTCTATTCCAAGGTCATTTACACATAAATCAATATTCGGTCAAATCTTTCAACTTAGGCTTCGAACCTTGGGGCTAAGTGTCCCCATTCATTCCGAAATATGCTCGGAACCGAACCAACTACCCCGGCAAGTCACATAATAACAAATAAATATAAAATAAGCAATAAATGGGGGAACAGGGCTGTAATACTCAAAATAACTGATCGAGTCATCCTCCCCCTCTTAAACAAACGTTCATCCTCGAACGGGTTTAAAATTATACCTTGAGTATCAAATAGGCGTGGATATCTGCTCCGCATATCCCACTCAGTCTCCCAAGTAGCCTCCTCGATTGGCTGACTTCTCCGGTGCACCTTCACTAAAACTATGTTCTTTGAACTTAACTTTCGAACCTGCCGATCCAAAATGGCCATCGACTCCATATCATAAGTCCAATACCCATCTAATTGAACCATGCTGAAGTCCATAACATCAGACGGATTGTGGACATACTTTCGGAACATGGAAACATGAAACACTAGATGAACGCTCGATAGACTAGGCGGCAGTGCAAGCTTGTAAGCCACCTCTCCAATCCTTTCAAGCATCTCAAAAGGTCCAATATACCGAGGGCTCAGCTTGCCCTTCTTCCCGAACCTCATAACACCCTTCATGGGTGAAACTCTGAGCAGTACCTTCTCTCTCACCATGTAAGCAACATCACGAACCTTCCGATCAGTATACATTTTTGTCTATACTGCACCGTGCGAAGCCAATGATGAATCAAATTAACCTTGTCCAATGCATCCTAAACCAAGTCAGTACCCAATAGCCGAGCCTCACCCAGCTCAAACCAGCCCATCGGAGGCCGACGACGTCTCTCATACAAAGCCTCATATGTAGCAATTTGAATGCTCGATTGGTAGTTGTTGTTGTAGGCAAACTCTACAAGCAGCAGAAATTGATCCCAAGAGCCCCCGAAATCCATGACACAAGCACGTAGCATATCCTCCAATATCTGAATAGTGCGCTCGGACTGTCCATCCATCTGAGGGTGGAATGTTGTACTCAACTCAACTCGTGTGCCTAACTCTTATTGCACTGCTCTTCAAAACTGTGATGTAAACTGTGTGCCTCGATCTGAAATAATGGACACCGACATACCGTGAAGGTGAGCAATCTCACGGATATCAATCTCAGCCAACCACTCCGAAGAATAAGTAGTCCCAACATGAATGAAATGCGTGGACTTAGTCAACCGATCCACAATCACCCAAATAGCATCAGACTTCATCAAAATCTATGGGAGCCCAACTACAAAGTCCATAGTGATACGCTCCCATTTCCACTCTGGAATCTCAAGCCTCTGAAGTAAGCCGCCCGGTCTCTGATGCTCATACTTCCCCTACCGATAGTTTAAGCACCTAGCTACAAACCCCACTATATATTTCTTCATCCTCATCCACCAATAATGCTGCCTCAAATCCTGATACATCTTTGCGGTACCCGGATGAATGGAATACTGTGAACTGTGGGCCTCCTCAAGAATCAACTCACGTAGCCCATCCACATTGGGCACAAAAATCGGACCCTGCATCCGCAACACCCCATCATCCCCAATGGTGACCTCCTTGTCATCACTGTGTTGAACCATGTCGTTAAGGACAAGCAAATGGGGTCATCATATTGACGCTCATAGAGCCCGTCAGATTATGTTGTTAAAAATTACTTATTTTAAAAAGTGCTTTTTGAAAAAGTACTTTTGGATATTAAGAGTTTATGTTCGGCCAATTCATTTGAAAAGTATTTTTTTGAAATATTTAATAAGCAAATTGTATATGACAAATCATTTCAAAAAGTACTTTTGTGTCACGCCCCAAAAATCCCACCATAAGGATCGTGATGGCACATAGTTCCTAAGACTAAGTAAGTCTATCACATAAAGATATAAACCAGAATATAACGACTTCGAAATATAAATAAAAGCTCAGAAATGTTATAACATAGCCAAAACAGAGATACAACAGTCATCATCCCAAAACCTAGTAATATTGAGTCATAAGCTCTACATGGAATATATAAGTAGTCTCAAAACAATTCATCACTGTTTGGGATACATAAACAATATAAAATGAAATAGAGAGTGACTCTGAGGCAGGCGAACTGAACAACAGGGATACATTGAAGTCTCCAACAGCTCTACCTCAACTCTCTAATGACTAGCTTAATCTAAAGTACCTGGATCTGCACAAAGAATGTGGAGAAGCGTAGTATGAGTACCCTACAGATGGTACCCATAAATATCAAGATTAATCTCGATGGAGCAGTGACGAGGTTTAAATCAAGACACTCACTAGTCAAATAACATGTGCAAGATATCAATATAAAACTGACAACGGAAAGCATAACAAAATATATATCAACAACCTCGATGAATGTGTAACAACAACTCAATATAGAATAATCAGTTTTGCCAACGAAATATCAAGTAAGAGTGAGGTACGTGATAGCATGGAAAATCAATCAAAAACTCATAATATACAAGGTGAAGTCATTTAAGGAAAACAAGAATATGTTCAGAACATCAACCCCGTTCCAACACATGAGCAACATCAAAGGAACACCCAAAATATCACGTAATATTATCAACAATTCCACCCTTATGTTGCCGCTTGCGCATCACAATGAAATATTTTTCCTTCTATTGCTACACGCGTATAAGCCACTCTTTTCTCGCCGCATGCGCATCACAATGTAACGCCTCCCTTATATAGCCGCATGCGTATCTCGCTATCCTTATACTCCACAGAGCATCAATAAAACCACACATCATGTCCACATGTGCTACAATATCACAAAACAACAAGATCGGAAGTCACTTCAAATATAGGCTCAAAGCTCAACAACAATGTGCACAAGGACATGACAATAATATAAGGGTGCGAGGAGTATTCACCAATAGAGCTTTTTTCATAAATCAAACAACCCCAATTCAAGATATATTAATAGTCTAAGGTCTAATCCGGTCATAAACCACAGACACGTCTGTGTACACACTCGTCACCTCATGTACACATCGTTCCGCATAGCACAAATAATGCAAATTAGACCAAATCCTAAGGGGTACTTCCCCCACATAAGGTTAGGCAAGATACTTACCTTAATTAGGCCAAATCAATACTCTAAAAATACTTTTCTTTTATAGTTCACCTTCGTCCGGCTCAAATCTAGCAAAAAATGACTTAATAAAATCAAACAATGCAAGAGAAAATAATTTCAATTAATAAAGTTGAGATCTTTACACAATTCTCAGAAAGTCAATAAAAGTCAACACCAGGCCCGCCTGGTCAAAACTTGAGTCGTCAAGTAGATCTCTACTACCCACAATCCCTCGAGTCCAAATATGCATTTGATTTTCAAATCTGAGTCCAACTCGACTCTCAAATCTCAAATTTTTATTTTTTAAAACATAGTAAAAAAATCCCCAAAACTTCATTTCAAATGTCATGATTTTGATGTTAAAATTCATAACTAATTATGTTATAATATAAAACATGAGTCAAAATCACTTACCCAATAGCTATGTATGATGTGTTTCTCAAAAAATTGCCTCCCAGTGAGTCTAGGTCTCAAAATGTGATATAATGAGACTATATCCCGAAATCCCACTTATTAACCCAGCTGCAGATGTCACTTCTGCGACTTGAAGTTCGCAAATATGACACAGGTGTCGCAAATACGAAGCCTGCCTAGTCCTGTGAATGTCACAAATACAACTAAGGTTCTGCAAATGCGAACCCAGCAGGCATCGCAAATGCAATTTACCTATGCTCGGCCCCACATCGCAATTGCGAGGCTGGCTTCGCAAATGCAATGCCGTCCATTTCCAGCTCTCTTCGCAATTGCGGAAATGGTCATCGCAAATGCGATATTCGCAAATGCAAACTGGTGCTCACATTTGCGAGACCTGCAGCACCAACCAAAAAGTAGCAATCACTGAAATAGTCCAAAACTCTCAGAAACGCATCCGAAACTCACCCGTATCCCTGGGGCTCCACACCAAATATGCACATAAGTTTAAAAATATTATACAAACTCGCTTGCGAGCTCAAAACACCAAAATAATATCTGAAACTATGAATCGAACACCAAAACGCATCGAATTCTCAATGAAATTCAACAACAACAACAACAACAACAACCCAGTGCAATTCCACTAGTGGGGTCTGGGGAGGGTAGTGTGTACGCAGATCTTACACCTACCCCGAAGAGGTAGAGAGGCTATTTTCGAAAGACCCTCGGCTCAAGAGGACAAAAAGACAAAAGGAGACAATATCAGTATCACCACAGAAATCATAGAAAAAATAGGAACAACATGAAATCCAGAAGAAAGATGCAAAGCAAAAATGATAGCTAGTAAATAGGTCCGGTACTGAAACGCAAAATAGTAAGACATGACATTGCCACTAGCTAGCTTAGACAAAAACCCTACCAGACTAGTCTCACAATGTTACGCAGTAAGGCAAGACTCAACTACCTACTAACCTACAACCCTAATAATCAATCTCCACATCTTCCTATCAAGTGCCATGTCCTCGGAAATATGAAGCCTCGCCATGTCCTGCCTGATCACCTCTCCCCAATACTTCTTCGGCCACCCTCTACCTCTTTCCGTGCCCTCCATAACCAGCCGCTCACACCTCCTTACCGGGGCATCTGGGCTCCTCCTCTGTACATGCCCGAACTATCCGAGCCTCGCTTCCCGCATCTTGTCATCAATGGGAGTCACACGCACCTTCTCCCAAATATCATCATTCCTGATCTTATCCATCCCAGTGTGCCCTCACATCCACCTCAACATCCTCATTTCTGCTACTTTCATCTTCTAGATATGTGAGTTCTTAACAGCCCAACACTCAGCCCCATACATCATGGCTGGTCTAACCACCGCTTTATACAACTTACCTTTGAGTATCAGTGGCACTCTCTTGTCACACAGGACTCCAGATGCTAACCTCCACTTCATCCATCCTATCCCAATACGGTGTGTGACATCCTCGTCGATCTCCCCTCCCCTGGATAACCGACCCAAGGTACTTGAAGCTACCTCTACTTGGGATGACCTGTGAGTCAAGCCTCATAACCACGCCTACTTCCCCTGGCTCAGCGCTGAACTTACACTCCAGGTATTCCGTCTTTCGTCCTACTCAGCTTGAAACCCTTAGACTCAAGATCCTGTCTCCAAACCTCCAGCCTCTCGTTAACACCGACTCGCGTTTTATCAATCAGAACTATGTCATCGACGAATAGCATGCACCATGGCATCTCCCCTTGAATATAGTGTGTTAACGCGTCCAACACCAGGGCGAATAGGAACGGACTGAGCACAGAGCCTTGGTGTAGCCCCATGACAACCGGAAAATGCTCAGAGTCGCCTCCTACTGTCCTTACCCGTGTCTTAGCCCCATCATACATGTCCTTAATCACTATAATGTAAGGAACCGACACACCTTTTGCCTCAAAGCATCTGAAATTCAATAAAATTCAAGAACTTCTAAAATCACAATCAAGCGTTTGATTCCTATCAAACCAATTCGGAATGACACCAAACTCTGCACACAAGTTTCAAATGACAAAACAGACCATTCCATATCCCGAAATTAAAATCCGAACCCGATAGCCAAAGTCAACCCATGGTCAAACTTAGAAAAATTCTAAACCTTCAAATTGCCAACTTTTGCAAAAAGAGCCAATTCATCTTAGGAATCTCCGAATTCAATTTCAGGCATATGCCTAAGTCCAAAATCAGCATACAAACATATTGGAACCATCAAAAGTCCGTTCCGGGGTTATTTTTATAAAAGTCAAACTTCGGCCAACACTTCCAACCTAAGCTTCCAAACTAGGAACCAAGTGTTCCAAATCAATCCAAAACCTCTTTGAAACCAATCCAACCATCCTCCTCCCCTCCCCAAGTCACATAACCACAAATACACGTACATAAAGTTTCAAAAGGTGAAACGAGGCTCAAATGCACAAAACGACTAATTGAATCGTTACATTTTGAGTATCAAATCATATAAAAAGATAATAAACGTTTAGCACTATTTAATTTTTTTTGAATATTTACTTTGAATTTTTTAAATTATTTTTATATTTTTATTTAATTTAAGTATAAAACATAAAGGACATATGTCAAGCAATAATATTGATAGGGACATAAGTGCTTACAAGTTATATGTATGAAAAGCATTATCTATTCTTTAGAAAATTAACAACTTAGACAATATTATATTCTGTCAATTATAATATATGCACCAACCAGGGTTGTGGTGGAGTGATAAGTTCTCCTTCATCCTTAACCAGAGGTCTCAAGTTCGAGCCCTGGGTATGAAGTCGCCTTTGTTAGGGAGCGCGTTACCCTCCAATATGGGACTTTCCGGTGTGAATCCAGATTTTGTCGGGCCCAAACGTGAGTACCGAACACTTGATGAAAAATCAAAAAAATTATAATATGTGCATATACGCCAAAAAGAAATATAAATAAAATTACAAACTGGAGATCATATAATACTAGTATGCTACAAAGAAAGAAGAAAACATACCTTGTGAGGAAAAATGCTTAAATCTGGTGATTAACCTTATTACTTGAAAGATCGATATGAAACGAAGAAAAAAAGAACGACAAAAGATAAAAGAAGAGATCTATTTATAATAGAGAGATTATTCCAAAGAGGAATATCAGAAAGAGAATAAAACTATGGTTAAAAAAAAGGAATAGTAGAAGAAAAGTAGTAAAGGAAAAAAGTTAAATTAATGAGGGATGATTTTAAAAATATAAATTTATCGTAATGATATTTTTATCTTGAAAAAATTAAATTTCTTCTCCTGCTTCTTGAAAGAAGCTAGAATTTATAGCTTCCCAAAAGAAAAAAATTACATCTACTTCTGCTCAAAAATACTTTTCTATTTTGGTCAAACATTTTAGATTTTCAATTAAGTATTGTTTTTTCCAAAAAAGTAACTTTGGCTTCCAAAAAACTTGGCCAAACAGGCTCTTAATGTTTCATTTTTTTCAAGTTTTATTTGCTCAGCTTTTATTCTTTTTAAGTTAGTTTTTGATTTTGAAGTTCCTTTTAGTATTACTCTAGATGTTGTTCTAGATAAAAATGTACTATGTATGTTCTAATGCTTGTGATTGATTTTCATATTTTAGGTCTTCAAAAAATAATTAATATTGTATGTCATTTTATTGTTTGAATTATTATGAACTACTCAAATTTTTACAATTCTATTATAAGTATGTTCTATAACAATCATGTTATAAGTGTAATGTATTTTTTTGTTTTTGTTTTTGGCTTTTCTAAGTATTACAAAATTCTTTTATAATGTTCGTGCACAAGCATATATACATTTTCTACTAATTTTATATAAAATACTAAAATAAAATATTTATGGGCTTACGCTTCATGCATTGAGGTTTATAGCGTGCGCCACATTAGGTAAAACGTTTCGCCTTATGCTTACGCTTTTTAAAATACTAGTGGCAAACTCTTTAAATTATCTTCTCCACAAGTCATATACTTCCAAATCAAACACATTTAATACATGTAAGTTGCAAAACAGATAAACACAAAAATTGAGAAGGAAAGGGTTCATGAAGTATTATTATACAGTTTTATACTGATTTTATAAAGAGGCAAAGAAAGAAAGTTGATGTGTTGCGTCATGCTGCAATTGTGAGTGATTAGTGATAGAGATTTGAAGTTGAGTAAGTTGATCAATGAAACTGTCATTTGCAACCAAATAAGCCAAAAATAAAAGGATTACGTACACCAATTTGTTTGGATTAAGAAAGAAAGTGAAATATTTAGTGTGGAATAGAAGTAGATTAGCATTAGTTATTAAATAAAGAGAGGCTACCGCAACCTAATACAGTATGATCTATGGCCACTAACTGTTGATAAGGACTTGCAGATCTCCCACATCATTTCACAGCCATATATAACTTACACTTAACCAAATCCTTATAGCCATCAGAGTCACACATAACTTACACTTAACTAAATCCTTATAGCTGCACTAAACTTAAGTTTACATATTTTAAATTGTATATTATATACACTAATTTGTAAGGTATCAAATTAAGCATCCAATAAGAAATAACCCCGACAAGCCAATACTATTATCATCACACTGCTAATTTTTGCATTATACGATTTCCGATTACTTTTCTTTTTAAATGTAATTACATCGTATGGTGTCAATCTCTGATTACTAATCCCATTATAACTTATTCCTAAACCACACAACCTACAATGGCTACATACATACTAGCACATGTTGAGCGATTTTAGTTTTATGTCTTGTGTATTGTGTGTGTCTTTCTTCAACAGCCGCTTGTTGTCGCAGCTGGTGGTCAGTATACGGATTGGAATATATCCATTACAAATGCGGATAATCTTACGTTAATATTTACTATTAACAAATAAATTTGGTCCAAAAAATTAATCAATCAATCATTTGACCGAAGCCGAAGCCGAGCCGAGCGAGCGACGACGACGACGGCGTGAGGCTTACTTTCTTCTTAACTCTTTAAGAGCTACAAGAAGAGCAATTATATATATACCCACCAAAAATCTTTTTCTCTTCCAATATGGGACAATGTCTCATTGTCAAGAGGGAAAAACTTAAAATTTTACTCAAATATTTTATTTTCCCTCCATTTCCCATTCACCCTTATTTTAAGACTATTTCATCTTAAATGATTTGGCTATACATTGCACTCCTTCCTCGCAGCATTTCCATACGATTTTCTGAGTTTCTACTCCTTTGTTCTGCATTGTTTTAACTTCAAAC